AATGTATACATAGTATTCTTTCAACAGAACAATACTCAGAAACATGTTTTTAATTTCTTGTAAAGAAATAAATATTTTGCAGTTAAGTTCCTCCCCCTTGGTTCACGGCGAATAAAAAAAATGATCACAGTTGAGACAGGGCGGGTGGGTGGGCTTACATTTTGCCTTTTTGTTTGAATATGTGTAGACTTCTTTTCACTACATGAAATTTAAAACATGTTTAAAATGGAAATTTGTATAAGGAAATATCGATTTTGCAAGTAGATTCCGCCCCATAATTGCAAAATCCATATATCCTTGTAAAAATGTACCATTTTAACCATGTTCTAAGTTTCTCGTTGCGGAAAGATGGCAATGTATATTAAGACAAAAAAGGTAAAATATAAGCCCCGCCCACCCGCCCCATCTCAATTCTGATGATTTTTTTATTCGTCGTAAGCCAAGGGGCGGAGCTTAATTCTAAAATCCTTATTTTTCTACCTGAAATTACCATATGAAATATGTTCTTAAGTAATCGTGTTATACAAAGAAAACTAAATGTAGATATTAATTAAAAAAGAAAACAAAAAGAGAGGCCCCACCCATCCGTCTCGATCTCAATCGTGATGAATTTTTCATTCGTTGTTAGACCGAAGGGCGGAGCCTAATTGCAAAATTGATACTTTCCTACGAAAGTTTTAAAAGTTGGCATCTCGAACGTCACCCCAAAGGCGTGCCAATTTTGAACAGCAACGTTAACGGATGATATAAACGACGCACACCTTCGGTGGGTATTTATTTTATATGTGTCCTTTATAACTTTTTTAAAGGTAGTCTATTTCTCTTCTAATGTCAGTTCCGGCTTTTCACTTATAGTCTTTTGAACTCTTTATTTATTTTTTTTTAAGTGCTAATTGCCGAGTTCTTTGGAAGTATAGACATAAACAATGGAAGTTAGGCATGTTATTATTACTGAGAGGACATTTTTTACCGTTGATTATGTCGCCAGCTTGGAACTTGCCCTCCCTTCCATGGCTCAGGGGCAACGTGGGGGTTATTTACGCCATTGGTTTCTATTTTAAAGAGGTTCTCACCAAATAAAAATCCCAAAATTTATATTTTATAATTTTTCAAAGAGCCGGAATTTTTTGGACTGTACTTTAGGGACCGGAGAAGTTCTGTCGCAATAAACTCAGACCATTTTTTTTATTAGTCTTCTTATTATTCTGTTCCTCTTCTATTTTATGTTTAACATATTTCCTCAGTCTATTGCTCTCACTTGTGATGATTTTTTATAGTCGCCGAGAGCCAAAGGAGCGGAATTTAATTGCAACATCCTTATTATTTCTCTACAAGAAATTACCACGTAAGACATGTTTTTGATTATTGTGTTATTAAAAAAATACTATGTACATACACATATTAAGAAGAAATTAAAGCCAAAGATTAAGCCCCACCCATACCTGCCCTGAAGTTTTCATTCGTTGGCAGACGCGGGGGCGGAGCGTAATTACAAAATCCATAATTCCTTAACAAAAATTTACCATTTTAAACGTGTTTTAAGTTCCTTAGAATCAAATACATACTATTTTTTCAACAACACAATACTCAGAAACATGTTTTTAATTTCTTGGAAAGAAATAAGTATTTTGGAGTTAAGTTCCGCCCCCTTGGTTCACGGCGAATAAAAATAATCATCACAATTGGGACAGGGCAGGTGGGCGGGCTTACATTTTGCCTTTTTGTTTGAATATGTGTAGACTTCTTTTCACAACATGAAACTTAAAATATGGTTAAAATGGAATATTTGTATAAGGAAATATCGATTTTGCAAGTAGGCTCCACCCCATAATTGCAAAATCCATATTTCCTTAACAAAAATTTACCATTTTAAACGTGTTTTAAGTTCCTAAGAATTAAATACATAGTATTTTTTCAACAACACAATACTCAGAAACATGTTTTTAATTTCTCGGAAAGAAATAAGTATTTTGCAGTTAAGTTCCGCCCCCTTGGTTCACGGCGAATAAAAATAATCATCACAATTGAGACAGGGCGGGTGGGCGGGCTTACATTTTGCCTTTTTGTTTGAATATGTGTAGACTTCTTTTCACAACATGAAACTTAAAATCTGGTTAAAATGGAAAATTTGTATAAAGAAATATCGATTTTGCAAGTAGGCTCCACCCCATAATTGCAAAATCCATATTTCCTTGCAAAAATGTACCATTTTAACCATGTTCTGAGTTTCTTGTAGTGAAAAGATGGCAATGTATATTAAGAAAAAAGAGGCAAAATATAAGCCCCGCCCACCCGCCCTCTCTCAATTCTGATGATTTTTTATTCGTCGTAAGTCGAAGGTTGGACCTTAATTGTAAAATCCTTATTTTTCTACATGAAATTACCACTTGAAATATGTTCTTAAGTAATCAGGTTATACAAAGAAAACTAAATGTATTAATTAGTATCTGACCATGCTAATCGTCGAGTTCTTTGTAAGTATAGACATAAACAATCGAAGTTAGACATGTTATTATTACTGCGAGGACTTTTTTCCAGTTGATTATGTCGCCCGCGTGGAATTTGCGCCCCCTTGCTTCAGGGACTACGTAGGTGTTATTTACGTCACTGGTTTTCATTTTATAAAGGTTATTACAAAACAAAAATTTCAAAATTTAAATTTTACTCCCATATAATTTTTCAAAGAAGCAGGATTTTTTTTTACTGTACTTCAGGCACGAGAGAAGTTCTGTTGAAATAAACTGATACATAAGTTATATTACCAATTTTTTTATTGGTCTTCTTATTAATTTGTTCCTCTTCTCTTTTATGTTTAATATATTTCTTTAGTTTATTGCGCTGTAGTTGTTGAAATTCGTTTTTTCTCTTTGTTGTCAGATTATTTTCCCATTCGGGTTGTATTTTTTAGGTTCTTCATGCTTCCTTATACATATGTTTCTGTAATAATTACTTTCTGTTTCACTCCCAGTGCTTTGAACAACTCTGGAGCTACTTCACCTTATTCACATGTTTTTTCCTTTTTAATTTTTTGTGTGCTTGATTCTATTTTTTGTTTTGAAGGTTTTTCTAATACTTTATTTATTCACCTCCTTTCTGTTCATGTTTCTAATGTTTGCTTTGAAAACTAGACGTCAAAATATTCTCACCATGTTTCTAAAATATCTTGGTTTCATTACTAATTGATGTCGTATTTTTTACTTCTTTTTATTTCTTTTCTTTTAGCTCTCTTTAATATACTCATTTTTATCCAAAATTTTCTATTGTCAATTTACAACTTTATAAATTTCCTCAATGTCTTACCCAGATTTCTTTCAGGTACTTGACTTGGCTGTTTTCGCTGATTTTTTACTATATCTGTCTTTCTTTTTTACTCTTTCTTGTCTTCTTGAATTCCACTTTGTACATATATTTTTGTCATCTTTTCATTTATGCATTTTTTTTTCTTATTTCTTTATACCAAATTTAAAGATAGTCTATATCTGTTCTAACGTCAGTTCCCGTTTTCGCTTTACTTTCTGAACTAACTTGTGGCTTATGAATCCGTTTTCACTTTTTATTGTAAACAGCTATATTTTTTGGAAATATTATAACAACATTTTATAATTTAACATTGCAAAACCGAATACTCGGAAATCTTGGAAATGTTATGGTTGGTACCGTTAATCGAAATTTACCTGTTAAATAACCTTCGCCTAATTATTTGTTTTAGTTTTGTTTTTAACTTTTTTTTTAATTTTGTAAATCATCTGATTGGCGTGTCCAACGTAATAATTTCAAGAACTCTTGAAAAGTACCGATTTATTGAAAAGATTTCTAAAGATACTATCTACAAAACATTCTAAATATCTGAAAAAAAAGTGCATATGACGTCACACATTTTTAACAAGGTATAAGTAACCATTTTTTTTTCCTCCCAAATGTAAACTAAGCAAGTATCCGGCTAATTTGAGGTTTTCTTGGCGTTTCATGACTCCTACTGGACTGATTATTTTGAAATTTTAATGTGTTTTAGGAATGTTGTAGTAAACGTTATTTAAACTTTATAAAAGAATATACTTCTGTACCTGTGGTTCATGAATTCCCCTTGATTTAAAACAAATTCTATGATATACAAAATACTATGAGTTTATACTTCATCAGTATTTCCTTGCCGATTTTCCTGTTAAATAATCTATATCTTGAAATATATATGAATTTAAATTGCGGAATATCAATATCAATAGTTGCAATATACCACGTGCAGAAAACTAAGTTTAAATCTTTTTTTTATATTTCTTTTGTATTTAAACAAAAACGTTGTTCCACATACGGCGACTTTACTCAATACAATTAATTCCCAGGAACGTGCAGGACATCGAAAACTCATTGCAAATAAACGTTTCGTAACTGAACGAACGTAAAGAGTTTAGATAAATACTACCTTAAATAAAACCAATTATAAACGTCTATTTAGAAAATGGTTTATCACAAAGGTACACACAGTAATTAATCTTTCAGTTAATGGACTTTTTTTATTCAAGCAAAAAATTGTTATCAAGTAATTATCAGGTTTTTATTCAGTTTGTGTTATCTGAGAGATTACCCTTTAACATAATTTTATGAGGGGTCCTCGTTAGACAAGTGGCTGTCGGGTTTATGAAATCCACTCTACGCCACTGCTGAATTTTTATTTATAAATTACAATAATTAATACCGCGGGATTTACGTAAATGTAAACAATTGTTACAAAATTCTGTAAAAATGTTTTTTTACTGAAGCTTTAGCCGTATCGAAGTCGCATTTTAACCTAGCGCTAATTCCCTCACACGTGCTAATGAATCCGTCCCGCGGTAGGCGTGCCCCCCAAAAATGCCCATCTTTGTGATTTTTCGGCGTGGTAGCCCGAAATGGGCGTAAAAGCGGTCCCATTCCGCGTCTACATTCACTGCATTGGGCATTGATTTGGTATTCGGAGTTTCCCCACCACGCCATCCTGCACAAGAAAGCTTTTCTTGTGTGGCGCCGCGCAATCTCCGATGGAAAAGAGACGGCCACTGAAATCGAATATAATCAAAAAGTGGTCGTGGTCTGGCGCGGCTGGTCGTCCATACTCAGTGAGCAAGAGTTCGTTTGAGCGGTCACCGGTGCACAAAGTGAGCCATCCTGTAACCCATACCGAGGGACGAAAAGTCGCCGATTCGTTCGAACGTCGCGCTTTCGCGGGAGACGCGCCCATGCGAGTGATCCTGATCCTGGCCGTCGCGGCGGCCGTCGCCTGCTCGGCCGACGCCAAGAGGAAGAGGAAGTTCGACGGGGACTTCGAGTTCGCCGAAGAGGTAAGCCGCCTTTGTGCGCCACAATGGAACAGGTGCCCAGCGTTCCGCTCGATTCTTTACCTGTCGAGCAGGTTCTACCATCGCCAGACCATTATTGCCCAAAACGGACGCAAGTGTGATCGGCTCACGATTGCACTTTCGTTACCCACATTCCCGGCGAGGACGAACGCTAATGACCGTATCCTATTTATTGCGTGCCGGGCGACTTCCATCTCCATACCCACACGATGGGTCAGTGCGATATTCGATTTCGGGAACGTTTTTTCACGAACGATTTCTGCGTCCTGTTTTCATTTATTTTAATTAATATTTTACATACACTTGGCTTGGCTCTGATCAGGTTATAAACAAACATTAACAATATTTTTTAAATTACTGTTGTCAACAAAATCAATTCTAAATAAACATACATGGATGTCACACTTAAAATTAACCATTTTATTGAAATCAAACAAAACTATAGGGTGACTTTACGTTATTGAGCGCTGGAAGTTGGCGGCAAGTGGCATTCTAATGGAATAGATTAAAATATAAAATTGCTCCCTATTTTACCAAACATAAATAGTGTAGTGTGTTCGAGGCAAATCACTATGTAATTCCATTGTATTAAGAAAATTACTTTAAAAATTATACAAATTATGACAGATTTAAGACTGGTCTACAAATACTGGAATTTTCCAAATTTATTGGACATGTCATTTTGTTTAATTCTTTTAGAATTTAGAATCATATTATAACACTCTACTATTGATATTGGTTTTTTGGGTCAAGACTGTGCAAGTACTTATCACTAGTGTGGTGCTTTACCACTTTGGTTTCGCGGTTTTTGCAATAAAACCAAAGTTAGAAGCATTTGATGCTAGTTTTGATTAATACTCTAATGAATATTTATGTACGCGTTTTATAAACAAACTGAGCGGCTATCTAGTAAATCTTATTATAAGTAATCGTAAATGTTAGGTACATAATGTTCTCATGAAGTTGTAAAAATGCATTTTTATTAACACGACTTTTAATTATAAAAGTGGTGTTATTATGTGAAATTATCTGCGTTATTAAGGTTAATGAGTCGTATTTACACAGTATATTTTTACACTGAACTATAGTTTACCAAAACATTCACCACAAAGATGTCATGCTTATGGGGGTGAGTGAAAATTTTTGGCAGATTTAAAACTAATCTGCACATACTAGAATTTTGGAGACTTTTTGGAAAATTATGTCGTATATTATTATTATTAATACTAGTTTTTTGAGCCAAGATTGTGTAAATTTGTAATGGAAACTCTAAGTACTACGACTAGGTGGTTACTTTACCGCGGTTTGTGTCGCCAGTTAAGAATAAATTTCAAAGTTAGAAGCATTTGATGTTCTAGTCTTGGTTAATACTCTAATGAATATTTATGTCCTCGTTTTGTAAACAAACTTAGCGGCTATGCAGTAAATCTTATAATCATTTTTTCTAATTATACACTTTTACAGTGTTGGGTGAATAAAATTAATCATAAATGTTCGACTGTAATTACACAAGTATTTACACAAATGTTCCAGTGTAATTCAATTAGATAATTTCATGAAAACCGGTGTGAAAATACAAAATTCAAAACTGGAAGGAAATGTTGAAATATTATTTTGAGGTACTGATGGTATCTTAAATTTGATATTAAATTTTCGTGATGTGTAGAATCAACTCGGAGGTAAGGGCCAATTGAAGAAGGTTTTGTATGTCCTGTAATTTTTATAAGTTCCTGGACACACTCTAGCTTTAGATAATTATTGATTTGTGGCACCTGCCTGATTGAAATGAGCCTTACCGAATTTTGGGTCCATTTTGAAATTATTTTTTTTATACCAAGTGGTACGTTCTTGTACCAGCCTTTAGAGCTATCGTTTTTCCAAAACGGATTTGGGGTTAGAAATAGACCATATGTTGTTAGATTTGTGTTTCTTTTGTCCATGAGTTTATTAAATAATTTGACGAATATTTCTTTTATTTACCAAAATTAATTGTTTTTTCATGTTTAAAATAATCCGTGATACAATGCACAGCTCAAAAGATACGAAATCAAAAAATCGTTTTTATAAACTTTCTGGCTCATCGAAGTTCCATAATTTTGTCATTTCTATAATGTTGTTTTTATTAGAGCACTTGAACTCTGTTTTTTCTTTTTTCTGGTTGGCGTTGTAATTCTTTTGTTTTGCCATTTACCACATGGTTCTGATAACATACTCTATAGCATATAAAACGCCATCTTAAAGTCTCTGGTTTTGTCATATTTCAAGTTCATAATTTCTTTCCTTTATTTTTCTTTGTTTTCCATTATATTTATGAAAAAAAAAGAACCCCCATTTTTATCCACTGACAAATTTGACATTTCTAATGAGGTATTTACATAACGGGTGTTCAATTAAAAAAGTCGTCAAGTTGGCTTTGATTTTTTGTAAACATTGTGAAGTATGTCCATAATTAACCTCAAATTTAATTCATGATAGCTGACAACGCGGAAATGCCAATTATATAGAACAGTGTGAATTAATGAAACACATGCGTTTTGCTCTACTTTTTCTTCTATCGAAAAAGCAACGCCAACTTGATGACTTTTTTAATTCAACACCCAATATACACTCCCACGGAGTAAAAAGAAAATTTTATCCACACAAAATTTTTAAACATAAAAATGAGTGTTAATAATATGGAATTTTCTATCTGTATTAGGAGCATTAGGGTTAATAAAGATTATTTAGATAATTTATTGTTATAATGACCTACAATTTGAATACAGTGTAGCTTTATAGAAATAGAGTGGAATGTGAGCAATAAATAGGAAATACAGTCATCTAAGCATAACTTCCTTGTTCATACGGTCTAACTTCTTTGAGATGACGTCATCAACAGTTTGAAGGGGATCAATATCTAAATTTGAATTCATGATTTACTCACTCACTGTTGTTGTCTTTCCAAAATTTGAAAGGAGTCAGATTTCAAATGGCATTTAGTTTACAAAACATCATCAATTTTTTGATCGGATTAATGTAAAAAAAATATGTATTTTCGGACTTTTTTCAGGAATTATAAGTAAGTTTGTAAGGTTAGGAACTGTTTAAAATGTCAAAACAAATGAGAGGCTATATAAATAGACTTTTTGATATAACAGGTATACAGTAAAAAATATTGGGAGTAGGTGGTCAAAGTTCATTTGTTTACAGCTTTTTTAAAGTGTAGAAAGAGTCACGTCAAAAACTGGCGGTAATTGAAAATGACATTTAACAATAAAATAGTGTTAAATAAAGCAAAAGAAAAGATAAGAATACGTCCCTAAGATAAGACTGATTTTGGCAGATGATAAACCCTCTAAGAAAAGAGAGGGTGGGTGGGCGGGGTTAGTACCTGCTAAGATAAAACTGATTTTGGCAAATGACATACATTCTAAAAAAAGAGCGGGTGGGTGGGCGGTTCTAGTACCTGTTAATGTAAGACTGATTTTAGCAAATGACGCATACTCTAAGAAATTTAATTAAATTATTATGTGAAAAGACACTAGACGCCCCAAAGCACTTTCAAATTCTTTCCAAACAGGAATACCTAGAACCTCAAATTTGTGTTAAATTTTTCAAAAAAAAGAAGAAAAAGGGGTCCCAAAGTTATTTAAAAACAGGTCAGATCAGAATTTTCCAAAATTAGAACACCAAAGTCCCCCAAAATTCTTTTAAATAATTTACAAAAGAAATCTCATGGGCTCAACACTAAAAGCTCAAAAGATTTTTTCAGGTTCACAAACAAACAAAATACCAGATTCCTTTAAATTTATCCGAAAATAAAACACCAGCTGCATAAATTTAATTTTTCATGTGGGGGCCAGTTCAGCCAAAAAATCTGTTGTAGCTCCAGTTGTATGAGCAGTAGTACCATCCTGCTGAAAGAGTTCATAAATTAATTCATCATCGTCCAATTAATTTAAAAAAATCCTGCAGTATTTATGTTTCCTGAAAACATCATTTATTTTATTGTTGAAACACTAAGAAGTTCTTCGTCATAAAAAACCGGACCAATAATCTACGTTGGGTAATCTCAGCCCAAAAAAAAAACCGCCAAATTTCTGGGAATATAGGGGGGATTTAAAGAAAAAGTGTGAATTTTCTGAAGACCACATTCTTGTGTTATGTGAGGTTACATAGCCACTAAGATGAAAGTTTTTTTCGAGATGGTTATCCAGATCTAGATTATTTAGAAACCATTGACAGTGTTGAACTCTTTGCAGAAAATCATTTGAACGTAATACATATAGGTAATAGATGTGAGGGTAAAAAGTCGTAAACAGTAAAACTCACACAATAGTTTTGATAGAATTGATTTTGTAGATCTAGAAAATACCGTCAAGTCAAAAGTCAATTACCTGTCAACGCGAGTGCATTGAAGACAGTAATGATGAAACCATATACGTACTAAAGTATATTTGGTTGCCTACTTAGGCACCAAAAATAATTACCCTGTTGTAAATAAACGGCAGATTATAATTTCAAGGCCTGCTCCAAATATATTTTCTATTTATTTTTCCCGTTATTTTGGTATTTCGAAAATTCTACAAACTGCCATACTTTTTGAGAAAATATTGTTCAATTGGTCAAGAAAAATGATCTCCTTTGTTTAATTTATTAGACACTTATAAATGTAACTCCGAAATATGTAGTTAAAATTGTTCACATTGGAACTATCGTATCAGATTTCCAGGAATTCCTTTAGAATTGATGGCATTCACGGTTGGAATTCTAATAGAAACGGTTGGAATTACTGGAATTTCTTAAATTAATTTCGATTTATAATTATGTAATATATTATAGATGATCGAAACGTATATACTAAAAGTTAGCACCAAATTTCTCAGCACAAAGTGAAATTCAGTAATTTTTGGTTTTGTTTAAATTTTTTTTAAATGGGACTAAAAGGGATTTTGATTAAGTATCATTTAATAAAACCACTCGCTTCTATTTTCAATTTTGCG